ATTTTATTGGGGAGAAGTCACATGAGAAACTGATAACCCAGGATCAAACCTCAGCTGCCCTCAGTGACCTGACGAGTCCTGGTCCCCTATCCCAGACCAAATCCCACACTCACACTCACAGCAGGTGTGTCTGTTAGATCTCTCACTGCCGTTCCCCTTTTAGTCTAAAGAAAAAGATTTAAAGCCGGTTGCACACCATTAATCCCAGCACTCGGGAGGCAGAGGCAGGCGGATCTCTGTGAGTTCAGGCAGCCTCCAAAGCCACAGAGAAACCCTGTCTCGAAAACCAACCCCCCCTCCCAAAGAAAAAAAGATTTAGACTTGATACAAAATTGTATGCAAAGATAGCAAATTTGAAGTATGCACGAGGAGAAGGAAAAGAGCATACGTCCTTAAGACCTATTGCCAGTGAAGCAACAAGAGCAGATGGCAAGAGCTACAGCAGGGCACTGTGAGGTTTTACGCAGATGACTGGCTGACTGTTGCTTTATCTGCTCAGAAATAGAGGAGGAAGATCAATTTAAGGAACAGCCCATTTTCTGCTGTCTTTTGGAGACTAGGAAGTACAGTACCTTGGCACCTGTTTCTGGAAAGGCACACTGTCCAGTGGAAAAGTGAAGCTGGCGGGGGTGGGGGGGAGATTGGGGAGATGGCATTCCTATAAAGTGTTGAACTGGTTTTTCTAGTCAGAAACCAGCTACATCAACACACCCTCTCTGCCTACCCATCATCATATCATGGTCTGACTACCTCTTAGTCCCATCTGGATGTCTTGTTGGGTATCAGGTTTTTGTATGTTGTTTTGTTTGAGGCTGGGTCTTGCTATGAAGCCTCCACTAGCCTTGAACTCAATATAGTTGATTTTGACATTGAATTCAAGGTAGTCCTTCTGTCCAGGCTCTTAGAGTACTAGGATTTTATTCCTACTTTGGAGTTTAGGCTTCTATCCCAAGGTCATTGTGGGGAGCCAGGCATGGTGGCTCACAATAGTTTGGTTTTTAGATATGTTTTATGTGTGGGTATATTTACACCAAATGCAATGCCTTACTCCCAGAGGCCAGAAGAGGGTGGCAGATCTCTGTGGACCTGGAGTTCTAGGTGGTTGTTACATCTGCCATGTGGGTGCTGGGAACTGAAGTCATAACCATGGAGTAGCTCACGCTTGTAATTCTGTTGCTTAGGAAGTAGCTGGAGAAGGATTAAGCCATCTTTGCCTACATAGTGAGTATAAAGCAAATCTGAGCTACAAGACACCTTGTCTTGGAAAGGCCCAAACCAATCAAAACAAAACAAGACCAAAAAATTGGAGGGGGAAAAAAACTGAAGGGCATAGTCAAACTGTATGGGTAAGTTTGGAAGAGCTGGTCTGGTAAATGTAGGGGGGGGTCATAGTTAGATAAATATGTGTAAATTAAAAAGCTTAGTAAATTTTGTAAAACCCCATTGCTAGAAGTAGCATTTACGAAATTCTAAAATTTCAGAGAAGTAGTAACTGAAAATAATGGCAAATCTGTGAGTGAAATGGTCCTTGGATTCACTGGGTACAAGAACTGGAGGGTAAAGACTGGTTAGGAGGGAACTTCTCAGTGGATCAGGGATGCAGTTCTAAGGAGAGGCCCACCCTGTGTTTAAAGCCATTCAGTACTGTGAAAAGGAGGAAAAACTATGGGTTACCAGATTGTTTTGAGTGAAAGCTAGCCTGGGCTTCAATTTATTATCCTTCTGCCTCAGCCTCCTTGATATTGGGAGTTGGGCCTTAGATTTCTTTTCTGATGACTAAGGACTGAACCTGGGATTTTGTGCAAACTACAATCCTCAGCCCTAGATTTGGGAGGTGGGGGGTGTATGCATGTGTACATGAGCACGTGATGACCTTATACATCCTAGGCTGACCTCAGGTTGACTCTACAGCTGATGATAAATAACCCTGAGCTTTGCTCTGTCTCTCAGGTACAGGCTTTACAATTGTTCACCACCATACCTAGATCCTTAATTTTGGTGTGTTTTGTTGTTGCTATTTATTTATTTGTTTGTTTGTTTATTTATTCTGGCTGGCCTGAAACTCACTATATAGACCAGGCTGGTCTCAAGCTTACAGAGCTCCATGTGTCTCTGCCTAAATTTTGGTTTTAATTGAGAAATGAACACTTAATAAAACATTGCCTACATAATAATAACTATATAAGGAAGAAGATTGCTTTTGTCTACTCTGTTCAGCTTTAATAGTTTGATAAATGTCTTTCTACACATAAGAAAAATAAAAAGTTGAGGGTTTTTACAAAAAACAAAACCACATCATTTAGAGAGCATTGTTCCTAAGAATATGAATGGACCTTCAAGTCAGTATTTAACTACATGTGTGTAGTATTTTATAGTATTCTGTGATTGTTCTATTGGTAACCTTTAAAAACACTACAGAGCATGTTTTAATACAGCAAAAAAATTTCCATAGTTGTATAACTTGTTCAGAGGCTGTATTTTACCCGGGTGTGGTGGTGCACATCTTTAATTTCAACACTTGGAAGGCTGAGGCAGGTGGATTGCCATGAGTTGGGAGGCCAGCCTGGTCTACAGAGTGCGTCCCAAGCTAGCCAGGACTATATAGAGAAACAATGCAGGCCTCTAGTAGCCTCAAGCATGGCAAACATGGCGCTGACAAGTTTTGCCCCTTCTCCTTCCCCTCTTCCTTGCTAAAAACCGTTAGATTACATTCCCAAAGCTAGTCCCCAAAGTCTGTTCCCTTATTTGGCCAGTGACTCATTCCCGAGACAAAACACCAAGGTCCAACAATCAAAATTCATTATTTGGCTTCCCTGGCTAACCTGTTCAGTCCAGATTTACCAACTAACTGCCCTAGCACAGACTCTCCCCTTTTCTCTTTAAAAACCCATTCCTGAAAAAAATGCCCACTGCTGCTTGCTGTCTGCTTTGCCTGATCCAGAGCCCCCTCCCCATACACACACTTGCCCCTCCAGGGTGATAAATCTCCTTTGTGCTGAGAACTTGGTGTCTGGGCATGTCCTGTATGAACTCCTGAGGGGCAGCCTATCCTCCCCTACAGACCCTGCAGGCTTCAAAAACAACAACAAAAAAAAAAACAAACAAAAACAAAACAAAACAAAACCCCCCAAAAAACAAAACAGAGGTTGTATTTTAAAAATTTTGAGGTGTAACTTAGACCCCTTGAAAGGTTTGTAAACATCTTGGTGAGTTATTATGAAGTCAGCACATGAGTATCTTTGCCAAGAAATAGAACAGTGCCAGGAGCCCTGAGTTCTGCTAGGGCCTCTTACCAGCCACAAGCCTCTTCTTGTGTTGCCCTTTTTTTGAGGCAGGGTCTCATGGAGTCCTGGCTGGCCTCAGACTCACTGTGCTACCAAGGGAGATGGAAGTTATTTCTGCCTCCTCTTCCTCCTCTGGGTGCAGGGATGACAGGCATGTGCCATGTGTATTATGTCTTTCTGAAAATGGGTGTCATCAGTGTGAAATTTAGACTCTTCCAGCACTGACAGGAGTAGTCACTATACTAGTCAAGTGTGCAGAATTGCTTTTAGGGAAGGACTTGAAGACTTAGTGAGAGTCACAGCTGAATGATGACAGGGATGAATTCAGTGTCTCAGGCATAATGTGAGGTGGTTGGTGGTGACGCAGCAGCACTTTGGGAAATAGAAGAGAATCAGGAGTTCAGAGTCAGGGTTGCAGAGATGGCTCAGCGGGTAAGAGCACTTGCTGCTCTTCCAGAGGACTGAGTTCAGTTTCCTGAACCCCTTCTGAAAACCTATATCCAGTTCCAGGGAATTTGATGCCATCTTCTGGCCTTTTTCAGGCACTGACATACATGTGGCGTGAAGGCAAATTTGCATACAGAGCATAGAAATAAATCTTAAAAGCTGAGGGGTCATTGCTTTGCTACATCCTCTGCTTGAAGTTTTTTAACAAAGGGGGGAAATTTCTGGGAAGCAACATTGACAAGTTTAACGGAATAATGAACAGAAACCTTTAGAAAAGTCTGTAGGAGGAGCTGTAGTTCAGTGTCTAGCCAAATTCCCATTAAAGACTGAATGTGGCCTAGGAAAACTCACCAGTGAGTGATTGGTTGAGTGCATGGAGTTGGAGCACAGTGGAGGTCATTGGGTCAGTCTCTATAGTTGAGTGAGTCATTCAATGTGTCATAAGTGTGTGTGTGTGTGTGTGTGTGTGTGTGTGTGTGTGTGTGTTTGTGTGTTTGATTTTCTTGAGAACCCTGACCAATACAGTATTAAGAAATCTGACTGTGTAGTTGGCACATACTTACAGAGAACTCAGGAAGCAGAGGCAGGAGGATCAGAAATACCAGGTCATTCTAGTTTATGCAGTGAGTTAAACCTGGTTTGAAATACATTAGACCCATCTGAAAAAAAGAATAATGCAAGCAAAGAACAAAAGGAAAAAACAGCCAAGGGGTAAGGAGGTAGCTCAGTTGGTAAACACAGGGACCTGTATTTAATTCCCAGAACCAAACTGAAAAACTTGAGAAGGGTAATGGATGCTTGTAATCCCAGCCCTGGGAGGAGGACAAGGCAGATCCCTAGGGCTTGCTTGCCAGCCAGTATGTTACCCAGGCAAGTTCCAGGTCAAGAAGTGACCTTGTGTTGAAAGAAAAGGGGGATAAAAAAGACACAGCATCTGGGATGGCACCCGAGAAGTCCCCTGATACCCACAAGCAGGTAGGTGCTCAGTACTCCCCCACCACTCAACACAAAAAAATGTATGTAGATACAGTTTTCTATTAATAGTTGCTAATGCTTGAAAGCAATTGATGTCTCCAGTGGATGACTGAATAATAAACCATGGCACTTTCAAACAAGGCAACATTCACCACAGAAATTACCTCTCAAGCCTGATACGTTGTGGAGGAACCTTAAGTGTATCATACTGGCTGAAAGAAGATGGGCTGAAAAGCTGTGGACTGTAGGATGCCAACTGTGAGACAAATATGAAGGACCCTAAAGGACCACTGTGCTTAAAAGGATATTAAATTAAGGTCAGAGACTATAGTCAGTGATCCACCTATAGTTAGAGGCAGATGGGTCCCTGAGTTCAAGACCAGCCTGGTCTACAGAGTGTGTTCCGGACAGTCAGGGAATACACAGAGAAACCCTGTCTTCAAAAACCAAAACACCAAAAAAGCCAAAGCCAAAAAATTAAAATTTGTGTCTGTTTATATTGAGACAGGGTCTTGTTGTCTGGCCTCGGCTGGCTGGAAGCCCTCATTTCTTCCTGTGCCCCAGGAGTGTTGGAATTATGGGAGTTGTACATATCTATATTAAATTAATCTAAAAAAAGGGTGGTAGGGTACTATTATATTTTATTTGTGGACAGGATATTACTGTATAAGCCAGGGTGGCCTCATTATCATGTCCATCCTTCTGCCTCAGGCATGAAATGTTTTGTTTTGTGAGTGCTTTGTTTTTTTGGTTTTTTGTTTTGTTTTGTTTTGCTTTGTTTTGAGACAGGGTTTCTCTGAGTATCCCTGGCTGACCTGGAACTCACTCTGTAGACCAGGCTGGCCTTGAACTCACAGAGATCTGCCTGCCTCTGTCTCCCAAGTGCTGGGATTAAAGACATGCACAACCACACCCAGCTTGTTTTGTGTTTTAAAGACACGATTTCTTATAATTTAGGGTGGCTTTGAACACCTGATCCTCCTGCTTCTATCTTCAAAATGCTGGAGGCTCACCATGGGAGTCTCACCACATCCAGCTGCTTTATTAGAATTTTTTTCCCATCTATTTGACAGTTTTGAGTCTGTGTTTTTAAAAAGATACTTATTTATGTACCCCATATAATTCAAGGTGATACTACAATGTATCTGACCAAAGGTCTATGAAGACATACATACATGCATGGTTAGACATGCAGCATGACTTTACCATTACTTGTGCTTGTGTCATCTCAGGCCTTATTATTATTATTATTATTATTATTATTATTATTTATTATTATTATTTGAGACAGGGTCTTTAGGTAGCACTGACTATTCTGAAACAAGTGTAGACCAGGCTGGTATATATAGTTTGCCTGCCTCTGCCTCCTGAGTGCTAGGTTTAAAGGTATGTGCTAACATGTAAGCAAGCTGAGAATGTGTAGTTTTTTTCTCTGATTTTTCACACCAACTTTGAGGTGTTGTATTTTAAGCTGATTTTGTGAGACCCATAACACTAGAAATTGTAAATAACAATGATCTTATCTTAGCACTCACTATTTACATTGAAAATTTCAGTGTGCTCTATGGACCATGTGCTGCTATGGATGTCTGAAGCACTTGAACTGCAGCTTGGGAAGACACAGACACCTAAATGCTGGGCTGGATTAAGTGCCTGATGAGGATGGTGATTGAGCGAATTGTGGTCAGCATGCAGTCGGTGAGTGTTCACAGTCCATCCTGAAACTCCAGACTTTTCTGTTCTCAGGCTTTCCTGAGAAAATGATATCAATTTCAACATTTACATTTATTGCTTGTGTTTCTGTGATTTGATTACTATTTAAATCACAGACGTGGGTCTGTTCCCAGCACAGTGAGGCAGTAACTTCCTAGGTTATACTCAAAACTTATTGTAAACTGGGCAGTGGTGGCGCACACCTTTAATCCCAGCACTTGGGAGGCGAAGCAGGAAGATCTCTGTGAGTTCAGAGGTCAGCTTGGTCTACTGAGAGAGTTCCAGGACAACCAGGAAACCCTGTCTCAAACAAAACAAAACAGAACAAAGAAACTACCCCTCACCCCAAAACAACTTATTATTGTCATTACATGACCTTAAAAACAATGTACTCATTAATGAAGAAAAGGATTAAATCTGTCGAGAATCACTGATTGGCTTGGCAGTTTGTAACATTGAATGTTTTTAAGTTAATGTTAAATATTGTAAGTAAATGTTAAGAATGTTGTCCTAAAATGTGACAATAGCTAGAGAGAAAATTTAGCCCATTATTTAAGTCTATGTGATAGATTTTTTAAGAAAAGAAAGGTAAGGTTTATTTTATAGAGGTTATGGTTTTATTGTTTTTTTCTGTTTTATATATTCAAGGTCTCAGTATGTAGCCCTGACTGTCCTGGAAGTTAATGTGTAGGCCAGGGTGGCCTCAGACTCGGACAGTTTCATCTCTGAATTAGAATACTTGCCAGTATAGTTAGCCATGGATTAGATGGCAGTCTGTCTGGATAGGGCAGCAAGGGAACGAAGGGCATACACACGTACGATGAACCTGGGATCAGGTGGTTAACATGCATTGTGTATTTCCTCAAGGACTTGGCATGAAAATGAATTTGATTTATGCTTGAAAGTATCCTGGAAGCACAAACTGTCCTCAACCTTTACCTGCTTATCTGCATGTGCATGTGTACAAATATTAGAGAAACTTCAGGGGTTGGTTCTTCCATTAAGTGGGTTTCAAGGATGGAACTTGGGCCATCAGGCTTGGCACTTAGTGTCTTTACCTGCTAAGCCATCTTGCTGACTGAAGTATGTGTCTCTCTGAAGATGATCGAGTGTGTGTGTGTGTGTGTGTGTGTGTGTGTGTGTGTACACTATAACATGTGTATTTAAATTAGAGGACAACCCTAATTGGAGAAAGGAAAGAAAAGAGACAGACAAATTCCAGCCAGCAAGATGGCTCAGCAGGTGAAGACACTTGGTGCCAAGCCTTATGGCCTGAGTTCCATCCTTGGAACACACACAGTGGGTGAAAGTATTGCAGGTCTCCTTGCAATGATTCCTGCAAGTCTCTGCCATGCTTGAGGGCTCAGCAGGTGAAGACACTTGGTGCCAAGCCTTATGGCCTGAGTTCCATCCTTGGAACACACACAGTGGGTGAAAGTATTGCAGGTCTCCTTGCAATGATTCCTGCAAGTCTCTGCCATGCTTGAGTACACACACACACAAACACACACACACACACACACACACACATACACACACACACATAAATGTAAAGTTTAGACTTTAAATTAGAGGGGTGAGGGGCTGAATGGCTCAGAGGTTAAGAGCACTGCCTCTCTTCCAGAGGTCCTGAGTTCAATTTCCAGCAACCACATGGTGGCTCAAAACCATTATGAGATCTGGTGCCCTCTTCTGGTGTGCAGATATAAATGGAAGCATAATATTGTATCCATAATAAATAAATAAAATCTTAAAAAAATTAGAGGGGTGAGCTTTTTCTTCCACAGTGTATGTTCTTGGCAGGGTGTTGGTGGCACATGCCTTTAATTCCAGCACAGTGTGGGTTCTAGGTATTGAACTCAGGTCATGAGGCTTAGCTATTGTCTTCTTTACCTGCTGAGCATCATACTAGCCATACTTCAACGTGTGTTTGTACTTAAAACATATTTATAATGTTTCAATTTCTTCTCAGTCCTATATGTTTGTCCATAAGTAGAAATTTCAAAATTTGTGTTTATATTTAGACTTTTTTGAGACAGTCTTAACTGTGTAGCTCATGCTGGACATGAACTCAAGATTGCCCTATCTCAGTCTCTAGAGTGATGGTATTACACCACACCTGGATTCAAATATGACCGGAACTGGTCCCAGCAATTTATGTTTGAAAAGTTATAGGCAGTATGTAATTGGTATTAGCGGTCTATTAATACACATTAATTATCCCTTTGTTTAAATTTGTTCTTTGGAGGAAGAGTATTATGAGTGGGTAAGGCTGGGAGAAGTGAGAAGCCTACTCCTCAGTGAGGGGCTCTGCTGTCTTACATATGTGTGGTGTGTGTGCAGGGTTCATATCTGGGAGGTCTCATGCCAGCACACATTTTTTTCCTTGTTTCCTTTGGAATTAGGGATATATATTTATTGGATCTCCTTAAACATTGTGATTAATGATATGGATTTCCGCCCAAAATGTTACATGCACATGTTGATTTACAAATAATTTCAGGGATATCTCTGAGACTCAAGCTATATCATATAGTTTGAAGAAAATACTAGAATGAAGCTTATTGTTTAACTAAATATTTTCTTTCAATTAATAATATAGATTAGTTTCTAATGGTTTCCTATATTGAACAGGGACAGATGACAGCTTCAAATTCTAGCTTTGAATGTCAACACTTCTACAATAGCATTTCACAATGTGAAAAAGAACAAATTGCTTTCCTGTTGTCTCTTCCTTGCTGTCATCACTTTCAAACACTGTTGCTAAATGTTATGGACTGTCAATACAAGACACAGGCATGCACAAATACACAGATATAGGTTATTTTTAAGCAATTTTTTGTAGATAAAGCAACGGATAGTCTCTCAGAAGTGAATTGAATTGTCTGATTTATTAATTAGATCAAATGTTCTAGTAATGACAGTTTTCTCCTTACTTTCTCTTAACATCTGAAACAAATCTGATGACAGTTTCTCTCTAGAGAGAGTCTGCCCTTCTCCAAACCAGGATACTGACAAGCCCAGTTCAGTCACAAGGTAGGGGAGAAGAGGCACTTGGGTCATGCAGCCCCCAGTGCACAGATGGTGACTTTTCAGTACCATCTGTTTACTGTTTCTTCCCAGCCATTTACAATTTCTTCCCCACAGTGAGGGCTGTATTAAAAAACAAAACAAAACAAAACAAAAAC